GCAAAAGAGAAGGTCTGCACAAATCCAAAAACGTATTTTAAATGCAAAATTGTTTTTTGTGCGCTCGAAATACTTTCTTCTTTGCGAGACAAACATTTTCTCCACAAAACTCAGTTCGCGCGCGTGCAAAACGCACTTTTGCGCGCTCAAAATATGATCTTTCGCGCACAGAATTGTGGCAGAGATGTAATCCCATACACATGGGTTTGAAACAACATGATCTTGCTTTGAAAGTACACATAAATGTAATTTACAAGGAAAATATACTCCCTGCAGCCATGTGTTGCAAATTTGGTTCATATACGGCAGATATTTGTATGAGAACTGGAAATAGGAACAGCTGAAATCCACCAGTATTTGACCATCATTCAGCCCACACGGACATGTCCTCTGACTCCTGTCTTTGTCTGTATTTAAGAGTAAAAGAAGAGTTGAAGAATGTTAATGGATAAGCTCCATGAACTCATTACCTGGTCTTTCTAGGATTCTTGAAATTTAGTTTCAGATTCCTTTTAAAGTCTTTTTTTTTTTAAATCTTTTTTTAATAACCTCCATTAAAAATGTTTCCCCACCTTTATGCACTTTGCTTGTCTTTCTTCTTTTACTGCTTTCAGTCACTGCTTCATGCTCTTTTTTTGTGAAAGTATTTTGAGTTACTCACTCAGGGATTTTTTGATACACCTTCATCAAGTCAAGTCTGCTTTATTGTCAATTCTTCCACATGTACAGCACATACACACAGAGAATTGAAATTGCGTTACTCTCAGACCCTTGGTGCATACAGATAACACTAACAGTAGAACATAAATACAGATAGATACAGATTAAATATAAAATACAACTATACAAATATACAAATAAGGTAAAATGTAAAAAAATATATAAAGCAGCACAAGGCACATGGCAGATAGAGTGCAAACCAGTGAAGTAAACAACAGTGCAGATATAATGATTTGTAGTGCAAAAGAGCTCATTCAGACTGATTAAAGTGACAGTGTGTGTGTGTATTTGGGAGGGGGGAGTGGGAGAGTCCGTCAGAGGGTCAGAGTTCAGTGGTGTGTGGGGCAAAACAGGGGAGGGGGGGCAAGGTCGGGAGGGAGTTCAGCTTCCTGACAGCCTGATGGATGAAGCTGTCCTTCAGTCTGCTGGTCCTGGCCTGGAGACTCCGCAGTCTCCTCCCTGATGGCAGCAGACTAAAGAAGCTGTGTGTCAGGTGGGTGGGATCACCTGCAATGCAGAGGGCTTTTCAGGTGAGACGGGTGTTGTAAATTAGGGATAGTTTAGTATGTTTGTATAGTGTGTGGTCAACTAATTTATGTAGATTTTTAAAAAAAACTTTTTTTTTTTTAAAAGTATTTTATAAATGTGCTTTTAAAGGGGTAAATAAAGAGACAACTTCTCAGAGCGTGATTTAGCTTGCTGGCAGTGTTCTGCACTGTTAGACTGTCTGCAGAATAAATTCTCTGAGAAGTTGTTTCTACATTCCCTAAATTCATTCTTTTTAAAGCACTGCTGCTACAGGCATCAAGCGCAGCTTGTTTAACAAACACTCCACCTTCAGCAATACATTTCAGGACAATTATGGTCAGACTTCAGATCTCCTGCTGTGATCAGCATTCCAGTTGTTATGCATTTTTTTTAGGTCTATGATAGTTTTGTATAATAAAACTTTATTTGCTAAATATCTCTGTCAGTTATTCTATTGAAGTGCTGTACATTGTTCTGTGATATTTTTAAATTGTTGATCTGTGTACAACTTCAGATCTGGTTGTCATTTTTCACCATGTTTGGCATCATGAATTGCATTGTGTGTTAAGTTGATGTTTCAAGTTAATACTGTGTGTTTTGACTTTTATATTCTTACTGTACTGAAGCTCAAGCAAGTAATTAAAAAGCTATTTTTATATTTTTTAATTGTAATATTTTTTTTGTAATTGTATATTAAATGTAATTTAATTATTATATTTCATTATAAATATAAATGTTTTTTATTATTTTAACTATTTATCTTTATCCTTTTCTACCCTGTTTTAATGTTAGATATATAAATCTGAAGATAAACAAAGTCTAATTAAAGTGCTTTTCTAAATAAATAAATAAATATGATTAAATATATTTTTAATATGTTGCTTTGACAGTCCTAAAAATGTTTGTTAGGTCTCTTCATAAAAATCATAAAAAATATATAGTTTTGCACATACCTAACTTTCATAGCGACTAGTATTCAATAATTCAATTTACATTACTTTTTTTTTTCATTATGAACTTTTTTCATAATGGTGCAGATTACACTGAATACTTTAAAATGAAATCTTAGTTTCCTCTCATCCACGCAGTTCTTTCTGAGAGCATGTTCCCACATTTTTACATTGTTCTTTTTCTCCTTTTAACTTTTTGCTGTCTTCCTTTCGCAGTGAGCCTCGCTGGCAGACCCTTGTGCGTCAGCAGTTTGTGTGTTTTATTTACTGAAATAGGTGGTTGTCTCAGGAGCCGGGCTGCTGTCATTGCTCTTCTTTGTGCTAAGCACATTTCGCACTTCAGAAGATCTGTGTTCTTCCTGCTTTCTCTAAGCGCTGTTCCATTCGACATGACTCAGTAACTGCCAGTATTTGGATTATGATTTAAAACCCTTCCTCTCTCAACTCCGAGCTTCCCTCGCATTGTTTCTGTGAGCGTGTGTGTGTATGTTTGTCTACCCTTGTTTGAGCCAACTCAAAAAACAAGTGGGTGGGCTCGAGTGGGCTCGAGTGGGTGATGCTGATGAGCAGGCCTGACGGAGCCCTGTCACAACCTCTCTTCTATACTGAAATATCAGCCTAGCGAGATCCGACACGGCATTGGGCTTGCAGTTCGCTGTCACATGCTGTGAACCACACAGCCGAGTCCTCCATCAAGCACTCAGGGGCTGTCTCACAAGGACCGGCAGAGTACAGTGTCGCTCACTCTGTGCTCATTAGTCGGACATCACTTTATGGCTCCATCTGTATTTAAAGATAATTCGATGAATCTTAATAGTCTTTGATGTACTGCTGCATTCCATGTGATTTTTTTTCAGAGCTAAAATGAGCATAGCATTATCCTGCAGATGAGCTAAATTATTGATTGTCTCATCCTCATCATATACTGCTCTCATTGAATGTGTGTTTGTGTGTGATGTCTTTCAGAGGTACTGGAGGGGAAGACGGCCATGCTTTTGGGCATGAGTCAGTGGAACTCTAATGATCTCGTTGAACAGATAGAAACCTTGGGCCACATCGACCAGACACAGGGTAAGAGCTCATAAATGGAAATGTTATGCTTTCTCTCATCAATCGTACTTCCCCATAGAGATATTAAAATTCACGGTTTATGTATATGGTACATGAAGATGCTACAAATGTTCTGCAGCGGTAAAAACATTTACATAGACAGTTGAGTGTACGTGAGACTGATTGAATGGGTCTAATGGGCTAGTTCAAAATGAAAAATCAGTCATCATTTATTCTCCCTCATGTCGTTCCAAACCTGTATGACTTTTTTTCTTCTTCTGTGGAACAAAAAAGATAATACTTTTTGGTCACAGAACTGTTTGGTTACCAACATTCTTCAAAAAGTCTTCTTTGGATGTTGTTTGAAACAACATGAGAGTGAGTTGATGTTTTTAATTTTTGGGTGAACTAAGTATTTATTTATTTGATTTGTGGTGGGACATTTGGGTTGAACTCAACACTTGTTCAAAAATGGATAAATGATATGATGTTGTGACAAGTTTTTGAAAGTATTTTTAACTTGACACACTTAAAAAGACATTGTACATGGTGAGAGACATGAAGCAGTGGCTGAAGACATCAGTCTGATACATGTGAACATAGACCCATCAACCTCACCCTGAGTACTACTCGAGCAGTCAAAATGACCCAAATGCACATCTCCAGCTCATATCCTCAAGAACAAAGGTTGTAATCTGAAATGGCATTTTATAAAACATCTCATTATGTTTTACATTAACCACCCATGTCACAGAAATTGTTCAATCAGCTGCTTGCCAAACAAATCTGTAATTTTTCATTGCGCCATGAAAACAGAGGAAACAGACGTCAGGCTTCATTAAGCAGCATCATGTCTCAGCTGTCTCCATTGATTTTTCTTACTCTTTGTTCTTATCTGGTCGATTCTTATAATAGTAAGAGTTAGCTAGCATGAGTCATTAGCCAACTAAACATCAGGAGTCTTCACTTTCTCGCTGCTTGGAGCTTTTTGAAGTTGCCTTCAGGCTTAGTTTTACATAATGTAGCCGTATTTATTAATATCTCATGTTCTTTGTGCAAAGGTCCATACATATGTGAAACTTAAAGAGGCTCTTAGCTTCACGCTAATGCTGCTGAGATGAATTCTGCTCAATGTTCCATGTTTTTCATTTGTTATATATAGTTTCTGAAAGCTCTGCTAGCATTTGTTCAGTGTAACGTGGAAGGAGGATAGTGTACATTTCTGCAGGGTTTGCTCATGTAGTAGCTGATACATCCAAATCGAATTTATGTACAAAATATGTCTCCCTCATGTGATTTATTGCCTGTGGCATATGCAATTACACAGCAATTACGTATCGATTTACTTTTCCATATTGAGTGATACCAGTGATGTAAATCCACCATATAAACACAACCAGATGTCAATTTCCATAAAAAACACGACATTCCCATATATTGAGTTCCCGGAGCGGTTTGTTGTCCTGTGTTCCACATACTTTTGGCACCGTTCATGGAAAATGGCGTTTTACCCCAGACTGTGCGTGCTAGTATTGCTCAAGATAATTCACCCTTCGCCTCAATTATTCAGGTGGCCGTTTCTCACATTTTTGTTTTCCTCTTGTGTGAAATATGATTGGTCTTTTGGACGGCACTCAGGGGGATGGAGACTTGAGCTGATGCGACAGAGCGATAAATGAGCTAAGTGAGAGGCAGGCATTGACCCCACCAAGCCCCTATCAGCTTAGTTTTCAAGTGTCCTGTGCCACAATGCTTCTTCCTGCAAGATGAAAGCGATGTTAACTTTAGGCAGTCCCTTTAGTAAAACTGCTCATCATGCGTAAATGCTTCTCTCAAGACTTCTCTCAGTGATTAATACTACGACTTAGTCCAAAAGAAATGCACCCATAAAACAGAAAAATGTAATATTAATTCTACATGCAGGTTCAGGTCTGAATGAAATGAGAATAATTTTGTTAATCCTCAAAACTTTGAATATTGCTTCTTGAATAAACGTTATTCTGGTATAATCGGAATTTGGACTACTTAAAGGCACAATATGTAATTTTTGCCGCTAGAGGGCGCGTATTCAAAATAATCAAATAGACAAAGGCATAGTTTGATGACGCCGTGACTGAGTGCACACGGCTCGAAAGCAGCGGAGCTTTTATTATGCCACAGTCAACCGCTTCCGCTCCTTCCGGTAGTGCGTATGTGGGGAAAAAAAAGCAGATTGGATATTTTAATAAAAAAATCTTACATATTGTGCCTTTAAGGATAGTGTTGTTTTGAATAGCCTTTACTCCAGTCTTTAGTGTCTCATGATCCTTCAGAAATCATTCTTTTAGGCTGATTTGGTGCTCAAGAAATTTCTTGTTATTATCAGTGTTGAAACCAGTTTTGCTGCTTAATGTTTTGTTGAAACCATGACATTTATATCGGGAATCTTTTGTTAATAAATAATTCAAAAGAAAAGCATTTGAAATTATTTGAAGCATTTAAACAAAGTCATCATAAGAATGACAGATATTGACATTATATCTATAACTATATCGCTTAGCCTAATATCTTCTCAATCTTTTCTTCAAGTAGAAATGTTCTGTTTCTAAACTTAGCATTAATTATATTGAATCCCAGTCTTATTTCCCCATAGTCCAGTACAGTTGAGACATTTTATTGACAGGATTAATTGTTGGAGGTACACTGAAGTCTGTGGGCACTTGAGGTTTCCAGATTAATTAGTCTGTCAAATAGGGGGCTTTCTACCTGGTGTGCTAAAGACTGATGTTAATTAGAAAACAGTGCTGAAGCTACTTTCACATGCAGCTAGCGGGGGGTCCTCTTGTCTAGATTCCAGCCAGCTTGAGTTCAGCAAAGCAGTCTGGATGCTGTCTGATCCTGTTGTGGAGTAAAATAGAGGGTTTCTTGATTGATCTGTGTGCAGTATGGGAACACTTGAGTGACCGCTGTAGGTTCCTGCCTGATATTGACATCCTGTAGCGTCCATCCTTCAAATATTACAATCAGCTGTCAGAACATTTGACATGTGGTTAACCCTTCTACGTAGGCAACATTTCGAGGCATCATAGACACTGCCATTATGAAGATGATGTCACATTCTAAGGCAGCATTAAGGTGCAGTCATGATGAAATTTCAGTGACATTTCACATGCAAAAATGCCCATTGTCCATTGTCAGTAGCAATGAGATGTGTAAAGAACAACTCGCACAGAAGTCAGTTTCAAAAACAAACAGGTTTTCAGTTGGTGAACTTGAAAAATAAATGAAATATAATTCATTTAATAAATATTATTTTATTATGGACAAATATTTGTGCTAATATCTCTTTAACATGCTTCACAACCTAATGTTAGATTTTATTGAAATCAATTGTGTCACGTCTCCCATGTGGAGCGCAGATTGTTTGGCATGTAAAGTTATTGGCTGAATAGACATTTATTTCAAATATCCTTTCTCTGCATTAAAGATGAGCTAGAGCTGTTTTGATGGGTCTTTATATAAAGTCCATTGATGTCAATTTATCAATATAGCTAGTTAGATAAGCTGGAGATGTGATGTTTTTTCCCCCTCAGAGTACCTTTATTCTTTGTTTCTGAATACCGTCTGGCTTTTCATCAGCCAAACAAGCTCTTTGTGTCCTGCTGTACTTGACTGGCTTCTAAACTCACAAAGGTTGAGGGATTGCTTTTATTCCATCTGCTCCCCTTGATGTGAAAGCAGTAGGTACTTTTGAAAATGTGACTTATGTATTATCTATGCCACCATTTTTACTTTTCATAGCAAGATGATAATGATTCTATAAATCAATTTAATGGGGACTCATTAGGACCTTTAAAGCAGACACTCCAGTTAATTGCAGTTCCTCGCAGGTAGAAATCTCATCAATCTCTGATGTAAAGGATCTGGGATGCCTTCCTTAAGGACTACCTGATTGACGACCTGATTATTTAAGGAATCATATGCGTGACTGACAGCTGGAGCCACACCTGACAATTTAGGGATTTGGGGACTAAAATTATGCTCTCTATAAATATATAAACTTACATCTTGGGAGCCAGTTATGTCCCCATGCAGCAGCTCTGGGCTAAGGTTTTGTTTCTGCTCATTTACTGTTTCAAGTAATTACTTTTTAATCATTGGCTTTGCGTAATCATCTTGATTATATGTGTATTAGCTGGGTGAGGGCGTTGTGAGAGCAGTGATTGTTTATGTGAGCACAGATGGATGTTGGAGCAGAATCCCTGTGGAGCTGAGGAGTAAGGCTGCCCATGGCAGAGCTTGGGTGAAGAGACCATTGAAACGGCCTGATGAAGCCCCAGAGAGAAGCACCAGAGAGAAGCCAGCCACCTCCTCTCTCTGGCTCTCCTCTCCTCTCCTCTCCTCTCCTCTCCTCT